TAAAGATTAAACCATTAATGGAATAAAAGTGTTAATTGGTTTTAACTGCTCGGCAGAAAGTCTGTGCTTTGAAGAATTTCATTACTTTCTATAATTAAACATTAAATTTTAAATACTGAATAGATACACCACAGGGTTTTCAGGAAAGTGCTCCTGCCCGTCTCCATTGCTGAGGGTTTAAAATTTTGTGTGCACGGAGGGTAAATATTTGGTCATGAAATATATCTACAATCTTGCAAAACTTACACTGAGAATGAAGTCATACAGCTTTGAACGTGGACAACGTTGCCAGAGTTGGACAGATTGTCTATAGTAAAATTGCATCTAAGGGCCCACAGATACCTATTCTAAAGTATCTATGCTCACTGTTTTTTTTAAGATTTTATTTATTTATTTGACACACAGAGAGAGAAATCACAAGTAGGCAGAGGCAGGCAGAGAAAGAGGAGGAAGCAGGCTCCCTGCTGAGCAGAGAGCCCGATGTGGGGCTTGATCCCAGACCCTGAGATCATGACCTGAGCCAAAGGCAGAGGCTTAACCCACTGAGCCACCCAGGCACTCTCTATGTTCACTTTTTAAAAGTAAAATATTTCCATAACTTTTGTTTGGGTGAATTTCTTTTGCTTGTGATTGGGAAAAAGACTGGGACTTAACCCTTCAGACAGAGTTAAGTTTGAGACTTAAAGGCAGGAAAAGGAGGGCATCCTTAATAGCTTACGTGGTACGTAGGGCATGTTCTTAAGAGATTTTCTTCCCTGGGACCCTCTTTTAGAGCTGTCTCTCCCCTTTGAGCAGAACTGGGAGAACCCCGCATAGCGGAGCCCCTCACTTGGGGTTCTGTTTCCTGTGAACACAGACATTCATTCACGTCATCTCTGGTTGGTCCTTATTAGAACACAGCAGAGACTAGTTATTTCGAATGACTGTGGAAGTGAGTGGCGAGATGGGCTAGAGAAGGAGAGGATAAAGGGAATTTGAACAAGAGCCCTCGAGGGGTGCCTGGGTGGCTCAGTTGGTAAAGCATCTGTCTTCGGCGCAGGTCATGATCCTGGAGTCTTGGGATGGAGTCCTGCATTGGGCTCCCTGCTCAGTGGGAGTCTGCCTGCCCCCCCCCGCCAGCTCATGCCTCTCTTGCTCTCTTTCAAATAAATAAATAAAATCTGGAAGGCAGGAAGGAAGGAGAAAAGAAGAAAGAAGAAGAAAGAAAGGAAGAAAAGAAAAAGAAAGAAAAGGAAAGGAAAAGAGCCACTAACGGAAAATACTAGGATTTTCTTAGACTCTTACTCTGTGGAACCCTATTGACGACATAACACACGCCAGCTGCCTAGAGTGGAGGGTCCCCAACACCACCCTCAGGCTTGGTGTTTCTCTAGGAAGACACGGGACTCAGAGAAGGCTACGCTGCTCATAGTTAGGTTGTTCTAGTGAAAGTGCAGAGAAGGAAGGAAGGCCAGAAGGGACAGGCTCAGGCTTCCAGGAACACCCCCCACGCCCCCATTCCAGGACAGTCACACGGGACACACTTGTCCCCCCGACGATGGTGTGTGAAAGACCTGAGAAGACTTGTTAACTGGGGGAGCTACAGCAAGCCTTACCATCAGGGTTTTTTCTAAGGATCAGTCACATGGGCAGGCTGAGTCACTCGACTCCAGCCTCCACCGGAGCAAAATAAGCATCATATTAGGATAAACTCATCCAGTCATACTGGTACAGCATGGCTCAAGGCCTCAGACACACAAAAATTCACTCTTATCAGGCTGCATATTCCCAACCAAGACTCATGAAACTGGCCAAAGGACCATCCCTCCCACGTCCACCCCAACCCCCACCCCCAGCCCAAACACAGGCCTTTCTTCAGAACGTGCAGGGTTTGGGTGCCCGTGGCCTGCTGGATTAATCCCTCCCTGACCAAATGGAAACAACCTTGTAACCAAGTCTTTTTGCCCCAGTTTTATAGATAAGGGACTGAACTGGTAAAATAATGTGTCCTGGTCAACCCCCCATTACCTCCTGTTGGCCCCGTCCTTCTGCCTGCTAGCACTTAAACTACAGGTAAGTGTGTCGTTCTCCCAACAATGCCTGTTTTCCCCACTCCTTGTAGAGCCTCAGAGGCATTGAGTCGTGTAGTCTCCATCCTTTCCATCCTCAGGCTCAGGACAGTGCCTGGCTTACTGTACCTGCCCGGTAAATACGGGATAAATGAACATCACCGGCCATGACATGATGGTTGACATCTGTGCCTTTTGACCTTCGGATCCTATGCTATTCTAATGTCCCCTAGGTCACAATGTCAAAAGCAAAAAACAAAACAATACCCTGGAACTTAATGTATCAGTCCTACTTAGAATTTTTATGAGGTTTGTTCCTTAAAGCCGAAGGAAACTTAGGATATTCTATGACATTCAATTTTTGGTAAGAAAAAATATGAATTTTGTGAAAACACCTTGCTAAGTAGAAAGAGCGCTAACGATTGTAATTGTATATAAATTTCCATCAAATTCAGTTTGGAGCCAAGACCAACATACAGTATCCAATTGTCACCTTTTCTCCAAATAAATGCGATCGCGGAATGTGCATGTTAGTGGCAAGGGGATTAGGCTACTCAAATGCGGGTAGCACCTCTGTCTCAGCTCTTCCCAAGTTAAGGAAAAGGTTCTTTTAGGTTTTTTTGTTCCTTTTGTCATGATGTTTCCTTTCTGACCTTCAGCGTCCTATGTCACTGTCTGAAGCTATACAAACACAGCTTCTGATTATCCTCATTTGGGGCCCAAGTGTGATCTCTGTCTCCCCTTCAATGAAATGGTGACGTGTAGAAAGAGTTCGATATGCCTGTGCTTCCCAAACTATAACGTGCAGAGGAGTCACCTGGGGTCTAGGATACACAGTTCCATTCTGTTAATCCGGACAGGCTCCTAGTGAGGCCAGGGGTGGGTCTGTGGACCACACGTGGAGTAGCAAGTCGAAATGACTTCATCTCTCCCCATCTTCTCTAGTACCAGCTTGCTCCCCGAAAACTCTTCAGACATCTAAGAAGGAATAAATATCTGTATCTGCTTCTTATGAGCCCCAAGATAACATGTTTTAAACACTAAGCAGGGAAACCTAAGCTGTTCCTTCCAACACTGCAGACGAAAGTCACTAAGTAAGAACTAATTTTACCGAAGGAGTGTGAGCAGCTTGGCTGTAGGTACCTGCGTTGAAGAAAGACCATCTTTGACTGCAATTGTCTCCACTTTTTAAAGCTAGTGTGTTTTAAGGCCTTGTTTGATGATCCAAGAAAGGCTGGAGAGGACAGGAGTCTGTGTTTCAGAGGCTGGAGGAAACCCCCCATAAGCTTCCAAACCCTTTCCGGGCAGCTGAGTCCCAGGATGTGGGCAAGGGTGGGCCCCCCAGTCGGTGACTGAGTAAGAAATGACAGTCGGTGTCTTCATTGTCTCATCTCCGAGGGGTCCTACGCGGTGCTTTCACAGGACAAGGAGCAGAGCCCTCGTCGGAACTAGCCGGCTCGCCACGTGTCAGTCCCTGCCCCGCTCCGACTGGTGGACTTCTGGACTCCTCTGAATCAACAAAGAAAGCTCATTTGTTTCACTTTGTGAAAACGCTTCATTTTCCCCCCAGACTTTCCATTTCACGCTGTGTGAATTTTATTAAGATCTTTTTCACGGAAGCTAAGTGCTAGCTCTATGGGGCCCTACGGGATAGCTTCTGTAGCCTCTGTGATGTCTGACGCCTCTTGAGACATTTCTTTTCCACCGAAAACTCCTTGGAGAGCCATAGAGAAGAATGCAAAATCTTTTTGGTGCTGGAAGACATGGTTTGACCTCATGAACCTTGTGCAAATCTTCCAGTGTTCTAATCTGAAAACCAACGGCACAGCGCTCCAGCCAATATCTGAGTAGATAGCATCATAGTGAGAGTGCATGGGTCTTTCTGAGGGTCTCCAGTTATTTTTAAAAGCTGGCTTAAAGCATTAAATTAGAAATATTTTTCATCTTAGAATTAGTCTTTGTTAATAAAATTAACCAAGAATCCTATTGCTTAGCAAGGTGTCAGTGGTTTTATTCCAATAAAGCCATGTTTTAAAAAGGTAATTATAATTAAATAATTGAAAAAGAATTTTTATTCTAATTTTTCCCTCTTGAATGTACATAGTAGAACTTCTACCGTTATTATATGCTCTAGAAATGACCTAGTGATTTCTGCGTAATAGTTCACCAGATAAAAATACTGAAATTAAATCACTCTTTTCTCTATGGTGGATATTTTAGATTGGTCTTTCAATTGTCATAAGGATCTTGTGAGATGAGTACGGTTATTTTTCCTATGTTAGAAATGTGAAAGGAGGAATAGGCAAGTTATTTAACTTGTCCCAGATCACACTGCTGGTAAGTGGCAAAGCCAAAATTCAAGCCAAATATCCTCACATCCAAATAGGGTCTTCTTTATGCCGGGGCATTTCTTGGATTCACAAGATCTGCTTAAGGATCGCTCGGTTTAAATCACAGCTTCAGCCTATGTGTGCAAATCCATAAACTAAAAAATGCACAGTCTTCTTGGTGCCTCCAAGAGCGAGTATAAAATTGAAGATTTTTCTTAAGTTCTTTACATTTCAAGAGCTCTCGAATCCTAGGAAATAGTGTTATGATAACACAAATGTGAAAATCCTTAAAGGAAACAACTACTTGTTTGGATTCGTAAGACAGGCGAGTGCTGCGTGGCAATGGCTGAACCCACTTGTGTCTTGTTTCTGTCCAGGGTTGTGAACACTTCATTTTTAAAATTCCAAACAGACATGGGTTTTTGCCCTTCGTTCCGTCTCATGTACCATTTAAAGATGTGCTTGTTGGTTGGTTGGCTCGGTCAAGCCTGAATCCACTTCCCTAGCTCCCGTGGAAGTCAAGGAGGAGGGTGACACAGGGCACGGGCGTCTTTTACATGGAGAACTGTTACGCACTTGAACACATGAAGACCCATCTCTTTCCCTATCTCTATTCTCACAGAATGTGTGACACAGGAGAAGGACTATTCACTTTTCAAACAAGGGAAGGAGAAATGATCTATCAGAAGGTCCATTCCGCGACACTGGCCATAGCTGAGCAACATGAAAGATTAATGCTAGAAATGGAGCAGAAGGCCCGGGTAAGGCTCCTTTCCTCGGTAACCTAACAGCTTGGAAATGAATGTCGCTGAGGTCTGGTGCACATCATGTATCTGTGGGCCCATTCACGTCAGCACCCTGGTGTCCACCCCCACCCCCAACTCCGCCCCAAGAGCTCACCCCAGGTACCGAATCCCATGTCTCTAATGCCCTATTCAGCATACGCCCAAAGAAGTTCTTTGTGGCCACGGGTGGGGAGCTGTGTGCTCCATATATCTCCCCGTGACCTGTTGGCACAGTTACCTAAAGAGGGTTGGGATGCATAGAGAGTGAATTACAAAGCAGTGCTCCCTGTATATCTCTGCATAGAGATTCAACTGGGGGGGGGGGGCAAAATAAACAGGGAAATTTAGTTACCCCCAGAAAGGATTCTACTTTCTTTTTGTCTTTGTTTGTCCTGGATTCTCTGAAACTTCTAACACTTTCTGCACGTGTTTCAGAGCCAGTCATAAAATATTTTCAGAAGGACCTTACACTGTTTCCCAACAGTATAAGGAACTATACTACAGCTTTGTGGTCAAGCTAAGAAATCATTTAGTAAAGAATCTGAAACCGCAACTTTTACAAGTAGCTGAGGAAAAATTTTAAGTGTTGCTACTAACTTCTTGGAAAGGCAAATAATGGGGTGATTATTGGTCATAATCTTAAGAGGTGACCATTCTTCAAGATTTATGGAGAAGCATTAGATTTCATTAATGAAGGAACAAATGGAGTTTGGGGACGTAAGTGGGTTACTCACTGGAATGACACTCATCATTCTGTTCCAGTTTAAAGACGACAGAGTTCTATATGTAGTATTACATTTGTTTTGATTTTTTAAATTCTCCATTACATAATATTTTTGACACATACAAAATTATCGTTTAGGTATAACAAAACAAAAAGTAATTTAGCAAATGATCTTGTTATTCTTAACGCATTTCTAATTTTGCCAATACTACATACACATTTTTATCTATCTAGGAAGAGCTTTAAAGACTTTTCCTGGAGCACCTGGGTGGCTCAGTTGGTTAAGCAACTGCCTTTGGCTCAGGTCATGATCCTGGGGTCCTGGGATCAAGCCCTGTGTCAGGCTCCTTACTCATCAGGGAGCCTGGTTCTCTCTCTCCCTCTGCCTGCTTGTGCTCTCTCTCTCTGTCAGTTAAATAAATAAAAATTTAAAATAAAATAAAACAAAAAAATAAAGAGCTTTCTTAATACCTCAGTGTGACAAGTGAAAACCAGGTCTTATGCAGGACGAAGGGCCTTTCATAGGGATGAATGAGTGGCCTGAACATTAGTAAGATTATTAATATGATTGTGTGATTAATTGTAGAAGCATTAATAAGACACTGGTATAACTTAGTCTCCTAGAAAGATTTGGGTTAACTGTAAACCATTTTAACAGTTACCTAATTAATATGACATTTATCCAAGGGCTTAAATCAGTGAGAAACTATAACTACCAAATTCCAAATTATTTCAGAATCTACTGATGTTTGCAACCAAAATTTACAGTGCCATGTCACTTGCTGCTAGTTAACAGTTAACAATTAACTACACTTAACAGTAGCTTTACTTATAGCTGCTCTGAACAGGCAAAAAGCTTATGAGTACAGTTATTTAATTGTACTGTTGTGAAGGACATGCCAAGAGCTCTTTGACAAAACCATATTGTCTGCTGTAAAGGAGAGCACTGGGTATGTCTCCTGAGTTCATATCCCATTTCCACCACTTCCTGGCTCTTATCACCTTGGGCACCTTGGAATATTAACTTCTAAATGTCTCAATTTCCTTTATCTGTAAAATGAGGATATAATAGTCCTACTTCTTTGGTTGTTATGAGGTACTTGTGCATTAAAATCTATAAAGTACTGAGAACAGGCCTGGCACATGGCAAGTACCACGAAAAGGTTCATTATTACGATAGTGATCCATCTGTAGGAGTGATTTTGAATAATTATAAGACTTGCAATGTTTGTGAAGACTCTTAATTGTTATTCCCAACTGTCTCTACATAATATCTTTCAATCCCTTTCAAGTATGTCTAACAATCTTGTGCCAAAAAATTTGCAAAACAAAATTAAATTCGCATTTGCTATTGATGCTTGTGGTGGGTGATAAACATGATAATGTCCTGTGTGGCCGAGAAGCATGTCCCCGGAGCCGAGCCAGGCAGTTGCTGTTTGGGGTTCAAGACCAGCCCTGCACTGACTTAGATTTCAGGCAGTCTACCCCTGGGGGTGCGGGGGGTTGCCCCATGGGGTGCATCAGGTACCCGGGTGCTCGGAGATGGAAGAGTGGGGCAGGTGTTTAAATAGCAGGCTCACCAAAGAAACCAGATATTTCTAAAAATCACGACATCAAAGACCCCATCAGTTTGGTGCACACATGCAAATAGAGCATTTGATTTAATTTCGAACACAATCGCACAGCTATGCTTTTCTCTGAAGGTTCGGACTCCTACGATTATTTCCTACGTCGTGCATTCTTCCCAGGAAGCCAAGCTGATGTTTTTCAGACAGCGTGCTACCAAGACCTGACCTGACAACTCCCAACATTCCTCACATTCTGGGACCCTAAGTAAACATTTCCAGGGCTCCCAGACATAATTTTTACTTTTTCTTTTAAGAGACTGCCTCGACATGCACAAATCTCTTTGAAAGAAGAAATTCCGACGACTGTGAAATAGTAGTTAAACACCCTCTAATGCTTCATTTGCTTATTTAAGGAAAAGAAAGGCCTGTGCTATCAACTGGGCAGAAGTACAGTTTGAGAGCTAGAAAGATAGCCCCGAACTTCAGATATAAAAACGATGCATCATACTTATTACGTGACTCCTACAAAATCAGAAGGTGATGCTGCTCGTTGGCTTTCCAGTTTTAAAAATGGTCCGTGTCAGATTGTTACTGAGCACGTAGAAAATGCCTACATAGTTTTATCACATTTACATTTGTTACTAGATCAAATTAGGAATGAGCTATACAAGTAATAAATGGCCCCGAACGTTGTTATTAAGACTACTGGCACATTTACTTTCATCCTTTTAAAGAGAGGTGATTTGGGCGCCCGGGTGCCTCAGTTGATTAAGCGACTGCCTTCGGCTAAGGTCATGATCCCCGATTTCCAGGATCAAGTCCCACATCAGGCTCTCAGCAACATGAGGAGTCTGCTTCTCCCTCTGACCTTCTCCCCTCTCATGCTCTCTCTCTCAAATAAATAAATAAGATCTTTTTTAAAATTTTTTTTAAATAAAGAGAGGTGATTTAACAGTGTTACTGTCTTACATATAAACAAATGTATATGAGAAATAATATCTTAACAACCATTTCTTAACTGTAACAGAAAATTCAATATAATCTTTTGACACCCCATGTGTGGTTAGTTAGAACCTAGGTTTGCCCATGTTTATTACCTTCCTTCCTGGGGGTGAGGGGGGACACAAGAATAAACTTATTTTCATATAGCTCCATGATCTAAGTTAGGCAATGTTTCTGTTCTTGTTTAAAGAATCTGATATCTAAAAAAAATAAAGAATAAAAAAAAATCTATATCTAAAAAAAATTCCCAGCCTTGTGAACAAAACAGTACATTTGCACTATAGAGTACTGGATAACAAGAATCATTAAATCAGTAAGGCTATTAAAAATAACACGGAGGACATGGGGAGATGGAGAGGAGAAGAGAACTGGGGGAAATCAGAGGGGGAGATGAACCATGAGAGACTGCGGACTCTGAGAAACAAACGGAAGGTTTTGGAGGGGAGGGGGCTGAGAGGATGGGTGAGCCTGGTGGTGGGTATTAAGGAGGGCACGAATTGCATGGAGCCCTGGGTGTGGTGCATAAACAATGAATCTTGGAACACTGAAAAAATAAAACTAAAAAAATATTTTTTTTTCATTTCCTTCACTGAGAAAGATGACACAAGAATTAGTTACTATTAACCAACACCAGAAGTTTCTAAGTAGAGCTTAGCCATGGATTAACCATTCACAAGATTGTAAAGGGTTTACGCTGTTCACTAAGCTGCCTGGTGATACACAGAAGAGCAAAGAAGTTCCTTCTCTCACGTGACGTGAAAGTTTGTGGCATCAAGTAACTTACACTGCCTGAGTAAGATGATCTCATTCCTTTTACTCCTTGAAATATCAAACATTTTCCAGGCCTTCCTCATGCTGGTGAGATGATGGCATCACGCGATTTTGGTCCGAATTACTGAAAACACCCCTTGAGTCCTTGAGCTCAATGGACCCTGACCGATTTCTCAGAGCACCAGCTTATCGGAAGGTCCTTAATTAAAGCTCCATAAGGAATGAATTCTGCACTACAAGAAGACACGCTTCCCCTCTGGCTTCCACGTGTAGGGCATCAGCTTCTCACTCTCCTGTCCAAGTGGGAATCCGAAAATGCTCACAAAAGGGGCTAACGGTCCTCTATATTTTCTTTAGCTGTTAACATCAAAGCGTCTTATTTCAGAGGACAGTTTTGGTTTTGAGGTGCACGGGAGATTGAAGCCACAGTCGTAAATTTTGAACTAGAAGTCATTCTGAGAGATTCACTAAGACTCAAATCCCTGAGGAAATGATTAAAGCTAGATGGGTAAGCAAATGGCATCGCTAGAATTTGCATTTCACGGAGATCGTTCTTGTTCTTAGAACCAGCAGAGTTCTTTGAGTGCTGTTCCTAAAATCATTTATAGGTCCTCTGCCATCCATGTTTAGCATTATCAAGGAAATTTTTCTTGTCTTTGTGATAGAAGCTGTTCATTAGAAACCATCACAAAATGTGCCCTTGTGATTCTGCCTGGTGAGGCTAAAATCAGCGGAGGTGACAAGACCTCAGATGCCTTGAAATAATTTTTTAATTTTCATGGATCTGTTACACACACAATATGAAAAGAAGTTCTTTTTTAAAGTTGGTTTTTGTGTTCATAACTTTACATGTGTTATAAGATGCCCATAGGTAAGGAGCAACTGAGAAGACAAGAATAAATTTTTTCAGT